AGCAGGAATACTCCTGAAGAGACTGTGGTTTATAGAAGAGGCTCCACTTGGAGCAGGTACCACCTTAAGGGACTGCAGTCTGTGGATAAGTGCAAGCCGGAGCAGCAGCAAGAGGAGGAGTTCGTTGCAATGTTAAACTCCATGGTCTGGTCTGAAGGGACCAGGGGTGGACATTGTAATGGAAATACCTTTAAACTGTGGTAACCCATGATTTGAGTTGCATGTTATAGAAATTACTATAGCAGGATCCACCTGAACCAATGGAGGACAAGCCTTACAAAGTTAAACCAGAGCAAGAGGACAATAAAGCTATTGGAAGTCCAGCTCTGAGTTGTCTCTCCAAGGCTGGCTCTAGCAGACTAAGCTCAGACCCTTCAGTCTTCAGCTCAGACCTTCAGCCTCCAAATGCTCCTCAGAGGTGCCAGTCTGTGTTTTGGTGTCATCTCATGATCTAGGAAACAGCAGTTTCAGCCCCCCCAGTATCATCAGCAGAGGCAGCAGGCTCAGAGCTGGTGGACAGCTGACCCAGGAGGCTCCTCCACACCTGGAGGCAGTGGGATGGGGAGCAGGAAAGGTATATGGGCTGTTCCAGAGATCAAACTGTCCAGCAACATGCTTTTGCAGAGCAGTGCTCTTTGTAGCACAGTCCCTGCTGGTACAGAAAGCTGTAAAAATAGCAAGCCTGCTTTTCCCATGATGCTTGATGAATCTTAGATTTTCATTTTGACATCTCTCCTCTTTACTCAGGCCTTTTGCTTCTGAGATAGTACTAAACTGTTGGAAAAAAAGAGGACTAATTTACTCTGCTTTACTCTTCCACTAAAGTGCTAGCAAGTCCAGGAGCAAACTGCCACGTTGCCATTTCAAATCTGTTGCCTGCGGTAGGTCAGAAACATGACCTGACATAATGGGTATTTGCTGATTCTTTATTTGGAAAAGATCTGCAGGCTTAGATCGTCTAGCTCCAAGACAGACCTAGATATTCAATACACAGACCTCCTACCAATAACCACTAACACCGTTTGACATACACATGAATATGTAGAAAACAAGAAGCCAGAAGTATCTACTAAATTAAAAGCAAAACCCTAAAGACAAAGGAAAGCAACTTCTCTAAAGAAATCAGAAGGACCTGAAATGAAGGGGATGTGCTTTTTCATCCAGCACCCGTGCACACCAAGCCCTCCCCATCCTCACAATACCTACTACCATGAGAATACAAAGAGCAAAACCATGAGTACCTGACCTCCAGTGCTGCGGAGAGGCAGATATTCCAGCATCCCCAGTGACTTTAATCCCACGGCTTAAACTTCTAGTGGAAACCTGTATGCCTTCCTGTGGTGTGAAGCTGTAGAGATGGGTTCTGTGAGCCCCAGTGTGATGCTACAAATAATTAGTCCCTGGTTTCAAGCTCTTAGAAAATGAATGACTTCTTACAAGCTTTTTTTAAGAACTGCTGTGATAGAGGAAGTGTGATGAGAATGCAGAAGGGCCAGTGCTATGCAAACATCCCCTATCACTAGAACAAATTATTTTTTTCTTTCCTTACAGAAATACAGACATGATATTAGGCTATGATTTATCAAGCCATAAACCAAACTGTTCATACACCTAGGGTTTAACTTGTCCTCCTGACTGTTACAGTGCTGGAGATCCTCTCCAGATAGGAGGAATTGCATATAGCTGGGTGATCACAGGCTCCACTCTGGGTCTGTGGTTATCAGTAGAATGTTTCAAAAACCATTGCCTCAGGGGTGATGTATGATATCACCCAGCGTCAGCCAGGATGAATCAGAAAAATCTGCTAGGGAAAAAAAAAAACAAACCAGAGAAATGCCCAAACAAAACCCAAACCCATGCCAGTCAGGAATGTAACTCACAATGCTGTTTTCATATCCTGACAAAGGAAGCATAATTACAACTTCAGAGATTCTAATTTATTTCTTTCTCTTTCTCATTATCACCTGAAGGAAAAAAAATCTGTTTTTTCTCACATGTCAAGGATCACTACCAGCAGGCAGGTGCGGGACTAGCCACCTGCATCCTGTAACTTCATTTACTTTAATTAACATGCACATAATTCCATTCACAAAATGAGGACTAAGGTGTGATGACAGATGAGATCAGAAGCTAGAAAAATACTGTACCACTGACATTTTTAAAGTCCTAATCGTGGATTTTCATTTGATAATTTAATAAATGGTTTATTTGGCATCCTGTAAATGTGTATGGTTTTCAACAGAAGAGCAGCAAAAATTAGACCAACCAATAAGAGAACTGTAATAAATATATTTCTATATTATTAGCAGTCATTTTCAGATATTGTATATTCATCCCTCTGCCAGATTATTTAAAATTAAGAAGAAAATCAGAAATCAATGTGTGGGTGAGGTCGGGGGAGGAAGAGATGAAGACTGTGAGTCAGTGAGAGGATGAGAACACACACTTTTACTTCTACACTTTTAGCAAGGGCTCAACTGAGTTGGAAAAGTAAAGGATCGTCTTCAAGCACTCTGGGAAGAAAGCGAAGGCAGAACAATAACTTTATTCCTGCTATCAAGCAAAGCCAGTGCAATTGCTATGATAATTATAGCACTTGTAAAAAGTCAACACACCTTCTTAAGGCTGCTTCCTGCTACATTCATATGAGAAGTTTCACCCACTTTGCCTAAATGAGCCCTGGCTTTCCAAAAGTGATGTTGAATTTCCAAAACAAAGCAGGTCTCCCCACTTCCCAGCACAATTGCATAAAATGTCTACTGTCAAGGTGAACTAAGCAATGCACAGGTCTAGAAACAACGTCTATAAACACAAGAAGCAAACCTTGCAGCTAGTACTTGCTATAGGGCATAAGTAACAATTGGAGTCACGATGTTAGCATTGCAATGGCACTTCCCCCTGACATTTCAGTACATAGCAACACTTTGGCACAACTATTTCTTATACGCATGCTCCAGATGTTTTCATACAGACTCAATATGTATGACCCCGAACAGACAATCCATACAAACTACAGCCAAGTGCAGCTTCCCCTGTCTGACAGACAGGACATAAATCTCAGTATGTATTTACACCACTCACTGTTATCCCTACCTAGTGTATCGTCAGTATGTCTCTGTGCAACAGCTAGCTCATGAATTTCAGTTAATTAAAGTGAGGGGTAGATTTATAGTGGAAGCAAAGGTCTTGCCAAGATCTGACACATGACAGATTCTCAAACGTGATTAAATTTTATGAACATCTCTAGAACTAGGACTTCACAACAGTCATCTTAGTTATTGCTCTTGGTAAAATGTCAGATTTGAGTAACCCTTCTCCATTGTGTGGAACACAATGTGGATCCAGTGGTTTATGGCACCATAGGCAAGAGCAGCCTCGGTGCCTGTTGGTGCAGTTCATCACTTGTAAGATATGCTGCTGTTTCTCCTTCCTGATAACCTTTGAATATTTAGGCCAGCATTTTCCAGACTGAATTTCCAATTCAGGCTGCACTGGAGCATCCTAACTAGAGGAAATCACCTCTTCTTGGGGGCTGCTTTAGAGGGAAAAAATGCTTTGACCATTGAAAGCCTCTCTCTAACATGCTTTGTCTCACTAAAAAGCTGCTCAAATTCATCCGGGTTATTGTTTTTGAAAAATCAAAGTCCAGGATCACTGAGCAGAGGCTTTGATTTTAGGTGCTAAACTTTTCGTCAGCAAACATGAATAAGCTTCTTACAACTCCTTGCCAAGCAAAGCACACACCTTTCCCACAGAGCGAATGGGCCCAAGGGCAAAGATGTTAATTGGAAAAGGGAAACTGAGCCTTCCTCCTCCCTCCTCATCAGATCATTTCCGCCCCCCAGTCAGGGACACAAGTGGGGAAATAGCTCCAGCATCAGGCAGTGCAGAAAGAGGACTGCTTGGATAAAGGCAGTGGGGCCGGGAGCCAAGAGACAGATGGGAAGGTTGTAATTTACAGCAATTGTTATTAGTGCCTGCGTTCTTTGGTGCAGAGCGAGGGGGTGTGCAATGAGGGAGGTGGGGGAAATCCCTCTGAGCGCAGGTTTTGGCAGCAGTTGGTGATTTCCTGATGCTCTTCTCATTGCCTTGGGCCCTGGTTTGATGAAACCTGGAGCAGGAGGTGGGAAAGCGCAGTGGGAACTGCGGTGAAGTCAGGGGGTGCTGCACTTGACAGAGATCTGCTGTCTGATGGGACGGTCCTTGAATTGGCCAAAAATGACCAATTACTTTGTACTGTGCCTCTGCTTTCCCTGTGAAGCCATCAGCTTACAGACAATTAGTAAAGATGCGTTCATTGTTATTGTGAAGCATCTAAATATTGTAGCATGTCATTAGTTTTACATAAATTAGTCAGTCAATCAGTCAGTTAGTCAATCTCAGTCCTCTGTTTTAATACTGTGTAGTTTAAATACCGTGTAGTACATACAGACATCAGGATTGAATGATGAGATAACCCAAAACACTGCTAAGAGTGTTTTTCAATGAAGCAACATCCATCTAGGGCATACAACAGACAGGAGTCTTGCCACAAAGGGATTACCATCATCTAACTAATGGCTCTAGTTAAATATTGCTAAACATATTGGAAGAAGATTTCTGTGTCCAACCTCCCTTGCTCAGTACAAGGCCAGCTGAGTAGCAGCAGAAGGATGAACCACAAGAAGGTTCATGTAAAAGATGCCACCTGCCAGCAGCCTCCAGGTAATGTCGGTGGCAGAGCCTGCCCCTGCCAGCTTTCCCTCATCCACAACCTCTCTGTCTGCTTCAAGAAGAGCCTGTTTGGGGTGAGTGGGCAATATCGTACGCATGGCTACAGCTCTGGCCACTCCTGGTCTCAATCACAGCAGCAGTGACTCAGAGGCTATTAGAAAATCCTGTTGTCCTGAGCAGTGGAGGGTTCCCTACTCTCTGTGTGTGATCCCCAGCAACACAAAAGCCCCAAGAAGAGAAAATACCGCAGAGACTCACCACAGCGCAGGTGACGGTCCGCAACGGGAAGGATGCTGCTGAAGTTCCAGTACTCTTCCTTCCAGCTGACAGTATTGCCCATGGTGCAGTCCAGCAGCTCTTCCTGACCCATCACACGGTCCCACATTTGGAAGTAGTACAAGCTGCCAATGAAGCTGTTGCTTACCCGCACAATAAAGCCATCCTTTCTTTTGTGCAGATGACCCAGCACCAGGCTACCGTTGGGTTTCAGGCACTCAGCACTGCCAATGGTTTCCCTATGCACAAGATTCCCATTGCAGTAGACCTCTAGCAGTTTTTTCCTGGTGTCCCACAAGCAGCACACACTATACCACACAAAAAGGGCCAGATCGATCTCGATGTCTCGTCTGGTGCCAAAAAGATACAGTCTCAACCGCTTGTTTTCTCCAGAGAGTCCAAGCTCTATGTCATTTATGTCAGTGGAGGTGTTGTCAGCATCATAGGAAAATGCTGCCCAAGAGCTGACATTGGCAGTCCGGTTTAGGTCAATGCATACCGTGAACTGACATAACTGAGGGATGCTGAAGTTGAGCAGAGACACATATTTATCATTCCTTCCTAGCAAATCCAGTCTTTCTCCATGCAGATAACGTGTTTCTGTAAGCAAATGGCATTAGGAAAGAGGGTAAAGAAGGGAAATAAAGTGTCACTTCCAAAGAAAATGCTGCAATATAACCTCATTCGGGCACTTCCCTGAATGATGATTAAAAAATTTAAGAGTTTCTTCTATTTCTAGTTTCTGCTGCATTTGAAATTTAATTCTGAGACCACCCACACTACCAGTAAAGAGAAGATTAGTTTAGTTCTGCAAAGGAAAAGTTGAAGTCCTCAAGACATGCCAAATAGGAATCAATACAGAATTCAGGTCTAGGGTCCACATGGTCCCGTATCAGTATGGGCTTCCAGTGCAAAGGTTCAGCACACTCTGGGTAAAGATCCATTTGCAAGTTTGGCTCCCAGGTGACCTATCACACCCCAAACCTTCAGTTTTTAGGTCAAGGTTTCTGCTAAAAATAAAAATCATAAGGACTGTCCTTTTCTCAGGCTCTGGAGAATTTGTTTGGGCATCTTTTTTCTTCTTACTTTAAATTATCTCATTATATCTTTACAACCTACTCAAAAGGTTTTGCTGACAGAGGCATCCTCCCTGAGTAATACTAACTGCAGACCTACACGGGCAGTGAGTAACTTGCCCACATATGGCCCCAGCTCTGACCGCAGAGTAGCAGAGTAGTAGTTGCAATGGCTCTAACTCAGCCAGCCTCAGTCCCTGGAGCAGTTTGGCAGGGGCACCAGCAAGCTGTGGAGGGTCTTTCACCTCCTTATCTGAGTTTTGGACTCCACGTTAACTGTCTGTTCTATAGGAGGCAGGACAGGAGGCAGCCCAGTGCAATGCTAAAACATATTATCTCCATTCTGGCTCCTGGATTTGCCATGGTCTCCTACTCAGTGAGTCCCACTGCAGTCATCACCAGCCGTGACAAAGCCCTTCCCCAGGTGTGAATCTCTGTGAACACGCACAAAGCCACAGAGCAGCACTGGTCCACGGGCCGCACATTTAGAGGGCAGCACGCAGTCACCAAAGGCAGGAGCCAAATCTTTCCACCAGCTCCATCTGCCACCAGCAAAGTGTTGCTGTAGAGGGTGAGGTGGCCCCACGTGCACCATCAGAGCAGTAATTAATCAGACTCAGATTGTAACCCAGGTCCATCCTGTACAGGTCATCTGCATCCTTAACTTGCCATTGCACTCACATGTTTACATGTGCTTCACTAATTCAGGGTACATTTCTTCTAGATAAGGACTGCCATTATGTTGAGTCTTTTATAAGCACATTTAGGGGCTGTTTTTATAGCATTTTCCTCAAATGAATTTAAATTTTTCAAACCTGATTGCTAGCCATGCAAAGCCCCAAGTCTAACCTGACCAATAAATCTCCAGTGACTATTTGCACTTCTAATAAAGGTTATACACATTGTGGACTGCAAAAGTAGCTGGCACTTCTCCCCATCTGCTTCATATGCTTCAAATTGGAGGCAAGTAGGAAATGATCCACCTGAAGAGTCTAATTCTCTGTAGGTGATCAGAAGTGGTGCATTGCTGTCCTAGCGTAACCTTGTGCACTTGAAGCGTAAAGAGAACATTTCTATTACACATAACAACACTCTGCTACCTTTCATGTCTGCCTTGGCTCTAAAATCAGCTCCACTGAGCACCTCAGTGTGTTGTGGACCATGCACCCATATCCTGGTTTAGCTTCCACTGCTGCAACTCTGCTAAGATGGTGGTTTGCACCCAAGAGAATTAGTTTTCCCTTGAGTAGGAGTACGTAGGACTCAGAACAGCAGTGTATAACATCCCTTCAGTGGAGGGCCCTGGGTGGGACGGGAGCGTAGCACCTGTCCACTAACACACCAGCCTCTGCCTTAGTGGGAGCAAGCCCTTGCGCATGGAATCACATGGGCAGTGCGGGGACTGCAGGAGAAGATCCATAGTGGAGTTTTAGGGGATGCAGAGAGGTGGGTGTAGCTACTCAATTACAGCTCAAGCAGTGAGTAATTCATTACAGCACAAGAAAATGCAACAGCCATCTTCAGCTGTACTTTCCAGCAGCTGCCAGGCCCAAAAGGGTAAGAAGCCAGTTCCCATGGGTTTCTCCAAGAGATGGGAATCCCTGTGGGATGTACAACTGGCAGAAGTGGCACCCATTCCACAAGTGACCAGAGCACCATTGCACCCCAGCAGAAACACTGAGAAATCACCCTTTCAGGGCTCAGGCCTTCCAGTGTCTTATAGCAGACAGATTAGGAGCCTCTGGCCAAAGCTGAGACAAGGTGGGTACATTTGGCAAGACCTTAACATTAATTCAGCCTTTTTATTGTGGAGGCTTTACTTGGAAAGAGCTCATTTTTTCCTCAACTGCACTGTGTGCTGGAAGTGACCCCAATGCCATGGCATGCATTTTAGAAGCACAAATTATCTCTGTGCCTTACATTGTTCTTGAGGAGAAGTCAAAGAAAGAAATACAAAACCCAACATAGAACTCATTATTGTGTTGCTGGGATTTACAGCGGAGAAAAAGGGCGTTGAGTGTGTTCATGAAGCACAGCTTACTGTATTTGACTCAGGGCCTGAATTATTACTGGGGAATTTGGTTCTGCCAGTAGCTTCATGCTTTTCCCAGAACACCATGAAGTGAGTAAATGCAAAGCTCTTATTTTACAGTGATCAAAGTAAAACTAGAAAAAACCCATACAGAAATGCAGGAAGACACCCAGGAAGGAAACAAGTGAATAATGACAAAACCAAGAGGCTTTTCACCTCCAAATGTGGACAACAGCTGTGATGCAACCAAAACCTGACATTTCACTCCTTACCATATTTTCTTGTTGGTACTGACTCATCTGCAGCCCAGACTGAACCAGCATCCCAGGAGAGGGTGTGCATCATGCCCAGGCCTGTAGGTCTGGAGGACAGCATATGCTTAGGGATAGTCAAGGACCCCAGTACCAGTTGCAGTGAGAAGGGCGAGGTTCAGAGCAAGAGTAACTGCTGCACTAGGGCAGAACAAGAGGAAAGTGGGATCCTATATAGATATACTGTGGGTGCACAAACCAGGAAACCAGCAGACATCCCCTGGGCTGGGGGATGCCCAGAGCCCACTGGCAGCATCATCCCTATGGCTAATCCTGAGGGGAATTACTGTACCTGCCAGGAGGAAAAGACAAGCAGCAACCATCAAGATGCAAAGAGCCTTGTCAGAAGAGTGCTGTCCAGGGCCACACATGGACCTCTTCATTCTTTAGGGATGCTCTGAAAGAAAGACGTTGGTGAGCACCCCCTTACCACACACTTGGCTGAGAAATTCAAACTGCTCCTGAAATTTGCTGAAATGGCATTCACAGCACAGAGGCCCAGAAGTCCTCACTCCCTGTCACCAAGCTGAGACACTAGATCAGTTGTCTCTGTAAAGGTCACAGCTATACAAACCCTCTGGTTTCTAAAAGAGATGAGGTTTACGCAATTACACTGTGCATGTTTTGTCCATCTGTCACAACTCTGCAAACCTGTTAGCAACTTTCAACCTGCTTTGACAAAAGAAGTCCATGTCTGAAGTGGTGAAGTTCCTACAAATTTTCAAGAAGAGAAAGCCCTACCAGTGAGGTTAAGCTGGATGCACTGACCCACAGTTATACCCCACAGACTGTCATGGGATGGGAGACTACAAGGCAGCAGACAGGGCAAGAGGCACATGGAGAAGCAGGAAACAAGGCTACTCATGGACAGCACAGTCAAAAAAAGTATTTGTTCTCACCACTGGGCTTTGTCTACAAACAAACTTTCATCAGTTTAATTAAGCCCTGGGGACATACTCATAATTGGGGAAGGGCTAGTTCCAGGGTCTAAGTGTACACCAAACACTTAAAGTAAAATCCAAATATGCCACTCTAAATTGGAAGGAGTTTGTCCTATTTTGTGGTTCAGTTTGACTAAAGTTGCTTCAAAGATGACTGTAGTTAAACCAGAGCAACTGAGTGGACAGACTCAATGTCTGACAGCCCCAGACTCACTCCTAGTGCCCTGGATGCTCCCCTGTGGCTTTCTCTACTCACTTTGCCAAGCATCAAAGGCAAGGGCTTATTCTTGGTTTAGGACCACACCGGATTAAATCTTCAGGTACTAATGAGGTATATAAAATGGCTGTAAGGGATGGACTAGATCCTCAGATTGCCTAAGTTGGCCAAGCTCTGTTCAGTGGAGTTGCCTGGTTTCAGGTCAGACGCAGCCCTCGCCTGGGGCTCCCCACTAAGGTTTACTGCATTCTGACCACTGGTGAAATGGAAATTGTCCCTTTGTGTCCAGACATGTAAAATAAACACTAGAAAATTATAAAAAATCCTCAGCTAATAATAGCTCTCTCCATTGCCTTTTAAAACTGCACTTTACAAAACTTATAAAGTTAGGAAATGTCACCCAGTTTTCCATTTACTGCTGTGACAACAAATCTCTTCTCCCAGCCTTCTCCTTTATTACTCCAGCAATGATTTTCTGACTTTTGCAGTAACATTTAAGGAACAAATCATTATGTTCCCAACCTGTGGTACCTAAACAGGAGTTTTTACATATTTCAGATGAGTCATGCTTTCTCCTAAAAACACCATAGTCATTAAAAGGTGCTGCTCAAAAACTCACCTCCTTGTGTAGCACAGAAATCAAGGTAGATTTTTGCCAAGTGCTCCACACTGTTTCTTCCGTCAGATGCCAAAAGACTGGTGAAGAGAAATATGAAGAGACAATCAAGTGGGATGTTGTGATGTTTTCAGTGGGTCAGGCAACGAAGAGCAAATGATTTCAGTTCTGAAGTCACATTTCTTTGGTCCTGGAAAACCTGCTGTGACAACAAATCTCTGCTCCCAACCTTCTCCTTTATTACTCCAGCAATGATTTGTTGACTTTTGCAATAACATTTAAGAAACAAATCATTATGTTCCCAGCCTGTGGTACGTCACAGGGTTGTGTT